GACCTTATATCTCTCTATGCTACCATCTGATTTATATTTGATCTTGTAAACCCACTTACAACCAATGCAGTGCCTGTTTGAAGGTAAATCAGTTAAAATCCAAGTTTGAGTTTGTTCTAAAGCAGTTAACTCTTTATTCATGGCTTCTTGCCGAAGAGGATTTTTCACAGCTTGGTTTTAAGTATTTGGTTCTGAATTTTGAGAAATAGCAGCAGTGAATGCATAATGTTCAGATGAAAGCATGTCATGAGAGAGATAATCACTAATAGGGTATTGGGATGTGCCTGAAGTGATTTGAGAAATATCTTTAAAAACTGAGGGACACATGTGAGAAGAAACATTATTGGATGCTGGTAAATTGTGGTCATATATGGCTAGATAAGCAGGTCTTTTGGTTTGTCTTGTGGACCTTCTGAGGTGAGGGGAAGATTGAGGGAAATTATTTTGGGGTGTAGGGACTTGTGGTTGGACAGGTTGTAAGGGAACATGGGATGGTGAAGGGACAATAGAACCAGTAGAATGACTTGGGGAGTGAGATGGAGAAGGTACAATGGTGGGAGGATTATCATATGGGAAAGACTGAGATGAGGGAAAAAGAGGTGCATCATCAGTGGGTGGTAAAGCAGAAGGAGTATGAAAAGGAAATATATTCTCATAAAAGATCACATTTCAGGACATGAATGTTTTCTTGGTATCTAGGTTGTAAAGCTTGTAGCCTTTACAACCAAGGGGATATCCAAGAAATATGCATTTAGTAGCTCTATGATCAAATTTTGTTCTATGAGCAGTTAATGTTGATGCATAACAGAGGCAACCAATCACTTTGAGATGATCATAAGAAGACATTTTATTATAAAGTAACTCAAAAGGAGAATTATTATTTAAAGTGATGGATGGAACTCTATTAATAATATGGGCAGCAGCAAGGATGCCGTCTATCCAGAAAATCAATGGTAATGATGCATGAAAGAGAAGTGCTCTAGCAACATTTAAAAGATGCTGATGTTTTCTTTCTACCCTCTCATTTTGTTGTGGTGTTTCCACACAAGATGTTTGATGAATAATACCATTGGAAGAGTAAAAATCATGAAAAAAGAACTCTGTGCCATTGTTTGTTCTTATAGTTTTAATTTTAGAACCAAACTGAGTATGCACCATGTTGTAAAAATGTAAAAGAGATTGTTTAGTATCTGATTTTTGTGACAGATGATAAATCCATGTAACTCTGCTATAATCATCCACAATAGTTAAGAAATATTTGTGTAATGTAAAAGAGATTGTTTAGTATCTGATTTTTGGGACAGAGGATAAATCCATGTAACTCTGCTATAATCATCCACAATAGTTAAGAAATATTTGTGTCCACTGTGACATGTGACAGAGAAGGGACCCCAAACATCACAATGTATAAGGTCAAATGGATGAGATGAAATGGAAGTGCTGATGGAAAATGGTTATCTCTTTTGTCTTGAGAAATGACAAACATCGGTGCATTGTGTAAAAAGTTGTTAGAAACTTTATAGAGAGACAATTGTTTGATCTTGGAATATGAAAGATGGCCTAATCTATGATGCCACATGACACTGTCATTTACAGGTAAATCAGAAGATACATGTTCAGTGCTTTGTACAGTAGATAAAGGAGGAAAAGAAACTGTAGATGAACATGCATCAACAGGAAGAGTGAAGTGGTATAGACCATCCTTTAGATCAGCAGAACCAATCATTCTGCTAGTGGATAGGTCCTGTATCACACATTTTGAAGAGACAAAATTGATATTGCAGTTCATAGTGGCAACCAATTTAGACACAAAAATCAAATTGAATTTGAAACTTGGAACATATAGAGCATCAGATAAAATGATATCAGATGACAATTTGACATTGCCTAAATGAGTAGCAGTTGTTTGTGAGCCATTTGGCAAATTTATCTTTATCATAGTACAACAAATAGAATCAGTGAACAAAGATATGTCACATATCATATGATTGGTAGCACCAGTATCTACAATCCAAGTATTCATAGAGAGAGCAGTTGATGCATCACAAGAGAAATCAGAAACCATACCTGAGGTCTCAGGCATAGCAGTAGCAACAACAGGGTTAGCAATTAAGGAGCCCTGCTGTGATTCCTGAGCCTTTTTAAATGCTAAAAACTCATGAAATAAACTGTCAGTAATGGAAGATGCATCATGAGAAACAGGAGTTTGTGTGGCACTGACAACAACATTAGCATGTGTCGGAGATGGTCTAGAAGATTTAGGACCTGGCCAATCTGGGGGATAGCCAATGAGTTTGAAGCATTTGTCAATTGTGTGGCCTATGTAGCCACAGTTTGAACACTTTGGTTTGTCTTTGGTTTGTATTTTTGGAAGATTTGTTTGGGATTTTTGTTGGATGGGAAATTTGTTCTGGCTAGCATAGCTAGGGGATCAATGTTTTGGAAGTATTTGTCAATAATCTTTGGCTTTCTTCCTGAAGGAGAAGGGAATAGACAGTAGACAGGGATGGAATGGGAGAAGATAATAAAAAATGACTTCTGAGGGATGAATAAGTGTCATTAAGGCCAACAAGGAATTTCATAACAAAATCATGCTGTTGAGCAGTGGCCATAGCATCAAAGAGATTACAAGTACAAGCAACAAAAGCACCACAAGTACATTTAAACAGAGGCCTATATGTAACATACTCATCCCACAAAGACTTGAACAGATTATAGTACTGAGTCACAGAAAGAGATCATTGGTCTATTGTACTAAGAGATTTCTCAAGTTGAAAGACTCTGTGACCAGTAATTAAAGCATATCGAGTTTTTACTTCATCCCATACATCTTTTGCAACAGTGAAGAAAAGCAAAGATTGACGAATATCCTTTACAATCGAGTTCAGTAACCAGGACAACACCAAGTTTTTAGCCCTCACCCAAGATATGTAAAGAGATTGGTTACCAGTAGCGGAAGGCGGCGAAATCGAGCCATCAATGAAGCCGATTTTGTTTTTCACACTGAGAGCCATCATTACAACACGACTTCAGGAAATGAAATTATCGCCATTGAAGAGCTCAACTACAATCAATGCGCCAGGATTGTCGCTGGCATGGAGGAAGAACGGAGACGAAGGATCATCGCTAGGGTTTGTGGTTGCCATGGATTTAATCGCCGAAAAAAAAAACAACAGATCTGAGTTAATTTCGTACAAATCTAAAACGAAATCGTACAAAACACTAAGGAATCGTACAGATCGAGGCTTAAATCGACGATTTCGCACAGATCAAACAAAAAACAAAAAAAAAAATGAAAGACGCGTCTCAAAGACAAAAACGAAACATGGATCGAATGCGGAAGGGAAATGATGTCAGAAAATCTATAAGGGAAATGAGGTCAGAAAAGAGAGTGCGGTCCCACCATATTAGAATTGGGGGGAAGAGAGTGCGGTCCCACCAGATGAAAGCGCACCATATTAGAATTGGGGGAAGAGAGTGCGGTCCCACCAGATGAAGGCGCACCATAAGAGGGTGAGTGTAGATGCACCTTAGTGAGGTTTCATCCCAAAACTAATTGGTGATGGGAGGAGTAGCCCACTAAGCATATAGACTAGACCCGTTTTCCCTATAGAATCAATGTGGGAGACTTATAAGTGATATTCCAACAATGTAAGAATTAAACCAATTATACCTTTAGCAATATTTGTGCCTATGCAGCGTGTAGCAGTAACTTGTTTACCTGCAATAATTAGCTTTACGAATCACAGTAGATGCCTCAAGTAGATACACTGTATCACCTCTACCTAGCTACTACGAATGAAATATATATGTGTAACAAGAGGCAGGCAATATTTTTTTTTTTCCTAAACATAATAATTGACGACTAGTATATGAATATTACATTACATCATATAAGTAGTATCCTTTACGGAATATGGAAATCAAGGACAATTAAAATATTTCAAATCCGTCTCACCAAGAAACAATCTCACATGAGACACAAGTATTACGACGTTACTTGGATGGAAAATGGGCATTGACCATAAGAAATTCGTTCCAAATTGATCATGAAGAAATTTATTAGAGAGCCGTGTAACAAGCAAAAAGCCAGCACGTGAGTCTACTATTTGACTCTTCTTATCACAGCCTCCTCGCCTCCATATTCAAACACCGTATGTGCTTACTAAGGGTGTGCTAGATTACAAGAGAAACCTGTTTTAATAAAAGAGATATACATAACATAGCTCGAGTCGCAACGCCCAAAAAACGTCAATCTTTTCCAGCATGAGACAAAGTAAATAAAAGATCGCAAGCAAGCCTAAAAGGATCTGGAACAAAAAGGTGCCATAAAATTATAATGATATGAAAAAATTATTTTCAAATGTTACAATAGAATCACAAATTGTGATGTGAAATATGCTTGAATTAATATATACAAGTGAATGTGAAGTTACGGGCGGTCAAACCCAATCGGTTGATATTTATTTTGATCCTTTGGATACGTTCAAAATAAAAAGAAATTGTGCTAAAATACCCACCAATTTTTTTATTTATTTTTTTTTTCACTCAACCTTTTTGACTTTGGAGGTTTGGACACAATAAAAGGTTACAAAGTAGCTACACTACGTACTACCATAGTATTAAATTAATTTCACCATAGCCGCCTTTCACTTTTAATTGATCGATATCAACTACTTATAATTAGCTCTCTTTTTTCATTTTATTTTATTATTATTGACCACAAACCAAATTCTATTTCAAATATCCATCTTCTTCAACAAAACCTTTGATATAGTCTCTCTCCCTCTCTGACAAAATAATTAATGGAGATGAACATTAATCCATTATTTGATCATGAATCTTCCTCTTCATCAACATATAAACAAATTTCAGATTCACCTCATCATACTCCTCTTCTCATCAAAACGGCTCCGAATCGGCAAATATCACAACTAGACGATGATCACATCAACAATAATTATAAGCCTAGCAATCATAGTATTAATGGCTACACAGAGATGATCACGGGCTTGGAGAGTAATATTCCACGATCCACTTCTAATCATGACGACGAAGAAGAAGAAGGTGATGCAGCCGGTGCCGGAAAGAAAAAGACCGGCGAAAAAAAGTCAAGGAAACCCAAGTACGCTTTTCAGACAAGAAGCCAAGTTGATATACTTGATGATGGGTACAGATGGAGGAAATACGGTCAAAAGGCTGTCAAGAACAACAAATTCCCAAGGTTATTTATTATTATTATTATTAACATTCATTCACTTCCTCTTGATTTGATAGATGATTAACAAGAGTTTTATTTGTTAAGTTCTAACTCCTTTATGTATAATTAATTAATTAATTTCGATTGACACACACACACACACACACACACACACACATATATATATATATTCTTTCTTTCTGTTCCTTATCTAATATTCCAAGTTGGATGTTCATGATGTTGCACTAAATATTATTGATCATGATTTAATTGAACTGTGTAAATCATTTGTTCCATTAACTGTAGGGAGTGATATGAATACACAAATTAAATTGTAGGGTTAGGACTCAGAAGCCTAGGTTCCATCTAGGTTACTGAGTTTAGATTGATCATAGCTTTAGATATCAATCTCGAGTCTAAATTAATTTAAATTTATCGCACGCGAGTATTAGATGTTTGATCAAGCTAGCTAGTCACAAGAAAAAATAATCAGAAGGATGCTTATTAATTAATTAAGGTTGAAAGATCAACTATAAGTGTCCAAAATAGGATGTGGTATATATGATAGAAAGAGCAATATTAATTCTGAATGTGGTCAAGCTTCTAGGCATTTATATATGTTGGAATAAATCCTAGTCTCATTTAGCAGCTGCGAACTATTAATTCACATAGTATTGCAAGCATCACGATCTTTTATTAATTTCTTAACTAAAATTAGTTGTGAATGAAATTGTATTTGTACATGTGCTAGCAGAGTAGCAGTGCATCTTATATATTCATATCTCGCTAGTGTGACAAATTTTATAGTGAGTTTAATTATATAAGCTGGGTGAATGCATGCAAATGGAAGATTGAATTATGTAGCAGGTACTAAGTTCTAACATGAATATTTTCGCGCAGAAGCTATTACAGGTGCACGCATCAAGGTTGCAATGTGAAGAAGCAAATTCAGAGGCTATCCAAAGATGAAGGCGTTGTCGTGACAACCTATGAAGGCATGCATTCGCATCCAATCGAGAAATCGACCGACAATTTTGAGCACATTCTTAGTCAGATGCAAATATACACCTCCTTCTAAGTATCTGCTGATATATGTATGTTGCAGTTCAGGCATCTACAATGACAATAAATTGTACCTTGTACGTTGGTTTAGACTTATTATTAGACTCTCGTGTAAGATTAAAATTATATATGTAACGGCTGATCCAAGTACATTGGTTGTTTGTTAATTGATTCGCACTAATGGGGTTTCTGATATACATACTATAAGTTGAGACGAGGTACAATTTATATATTTCAAAACAATATATAAATAATACACTTTTGTTTTTACTCGCCATGTATTTAAAATTGCTTCCATTATGAGGACAACTTGGTCCATAGAAAGTTTGTTAAAGGTTATGTTTGGTTAGTTTATAAGTTTTTTGTATTTAAATAAATTTCGTTTGACAGGACGAGTATTTTTAAAAAGATCGAGTTTATCTCATAAGCTAATTTTTTGAATAGTTTTTCAAATAAGTTCGTTGAAATTTTTATTTTCACTAGTTTATCAACTAATTTTACCAACTACCACTTTCATCATATATAAGATAACTTTTCAGCTATAAGTCATAAGCTTTAAATTCGATAATCACTGATAAGTTATAAGATAGTTTTATCAAACATAGTCTAATTCTATGCTATAATCATATCATAAATGTGTAGCTACGTACCTAAGATAAAGAGTAATGCTATAAGTACATAATATTGTACATAAAAGGGTACATAACACTCACATAGTGGAGTTCACTTGATTTTTTATTTTTAGTGGGTCCCACTCAGTGTGAGTTTTATGTACACCATTATATATAATACTAGTACGTAGCCCGTGCGATGCACGGGACAGGGCTATAAATGCGCCATTTTCATAGAGTGAGTCATTTTTATATAGTATGTCCGTTAAGTAGCTCGTACGATGCACGGGACAGAGATATTAAATAAGTCATTTTCATGGGGCTTGTTCGTTAAAGCCTAAAAATAATAGAGTTTGAACATCTCTTTTCCACCTCTTTTCGTCAGTGTCATTTTTTTGTCGGGAAGCTAAACTTGAGCCTTTTAGCTCTAGCTAGCCCGTAAATTAATTAATATAATTATCCCACTAACACGTTTATTGTAATATAAATTTGATTTTCAGTATATATATTTATTTTTTGATATTTAAAAAAAAAATAACAATTTTATTTATTCTTGTTCCTCGTATAATACTCAATTTATGTTATTCTAAAACGTGTTGTAATATAATGTCATTATTATTATTTATGAAAGTATAGATGTAGTCTTCTTCTTCTTTTTATTTTATGTAATGAAAATATCTAGTGTACGTTAATATTATTTATTAATGTAATTACTTTAAGTTATCTAAATAAATTTAAAATAATATTGTGTACAAGTATTTTGCAAAATATTTTTATAATAATTAAACAACATAAGACTTTATAGTTTATTCAACATATTATGCAATATATTTTAAAAGAATTTCACTATGGAGAGAAATCAAAATAAAAAAAAAAATGATAAAAAAATAATCATGGTTAATAATAATATACAAATAAATCACTTGTTGAAATTCTAAAGAATAGTTAATATATTTCAATTTTATTATGTGGCCATTAATAAAATTAGTTAATGTATTTATTAATGATCTCCTAAATGGTAAATTATATTAATTTAAAAGATTTTGTTTTTATAAATTCAATGAAATAAAGATCAAGAAAAAAAATTACTTAACATGTTAACATTATTCATAAATATTTTAGGATGAAAGTCAATATTTGTGAAAAAAATTAATATCCTTATAATTTAAAATATGTTTTCATATCTATCAAACAATAAAATAATCAATATGAATTCAAAAATTAAATTTGTAGTTTATTATAACGGATATCAATGAAATTATTGCATAAAATTACTTTAAAAATGAATCTTTTTTATCATGTCTAATTTGAATTGATTTGAAATTGTGTATATGGAATCAATTAATGCATATATTTTAAAAGTTTCAAATAAGGTATGCATTTAATGCTTCAAGAGTTTTTTTGCTACTATTTCTAGTAAATGGTTATTCTTATATATATATATATATATATATATATATATATATATATATATTATTGTAAATAGTGGAATCTACCACTAGTCATTTATATTATTATATTAGAGTGTCTTAAACTGTGTGCCAAACTTAGCCTATAAAAGGCAAGTGATATATTGCAAAGTGATGTACGAAAAAGAAGGAGAAAGAAAGAGAGAAAAACTTGTAATAATTTTGATCCGGTTTTTACATTGTGTTCTTTATATTCCCCGTATTTTATAACACGTTATCAGCACGAACGCTCTACCCGGTCAAGAAAGGTAGAATATATATACATATTACTATTATTCTTGACAAGTTAGGCTCTGCCACAGTCAAGGATATATATACATATTGCTATTATTTTTGACAAGTTAGGCTCTGCCACAGTCAAAAATATATATATATTACCATTATTCTTGACAAGTTAGGCTCTACCACAGTCGAGATATGTATACTAAATATGATATTATCTACACGTTACCATTATTATTGGAAAATTAGGCTATGCCATAGTCAATAATATGTGGTGATATGATATTATTAAATTTGCTTATGAATTATTTTTCAAGTTGTAATAAATGTTATTATTTATGCTTAACACCCACAAAAATGGTTTACCCAGTAATGTGGCGTGAAATTTATAACTGTTTATTCTTGTACTTACCATAAAATTTATCAAATAATGTGGAGCATTTTTTTTACTTGTTTTGTTATATTCGCGAAAATATTCATCAAATAATTCAAAAAAATTTTTAAAGTAAAATACATGATTAATTAGAATTTTATGATCATAAATGATTAATTAGCAAATATTATATCATTAAATTTGATTCCAACGGCTACTTAACGGCTATATTGCAACGGCTATTTACCAATATCTATATATAACACTACAATTCATTTTCATAATACAAACACTCAAAATATATTGTCTTAAGAAAAAAAAAATGTTTGATCCATTACTTATAATTACCATTATCTTGTTTATTATATATGTTTTCCTAATTTTCAAAATGATGTATCGTACTGTTGGATTTAAATTTTATGTATTAGGCCTTTGTATAATGTGTTTAGTATTTGCTCTTATGTACGTATTGAAGAATTAATGATTGTATATGTAATTTTTCGAATCTCAGCATTGATGTTTTATTTTATAGTTATCATGGCAAATCTGGTCAGACTCGAATTCGAAGCTCTCGATATCTCTGGGAAAAATTATATCTCATGGACATTGGATGCCGAAATTCATTTGGCGGCAAGGGGATTGAAAAAAACAATAATATCCCCAAATGATTCATCAATACAGGAAAAGGCTAAAGCAATGATATTTCTGAGGCATCATTTGAATGAGGCTTTGAAAAATGAATATTTAACTGTTAAAGATCCTGCGGATCTATGGAAAGCCTTGAAAGAAAGGTATGATCACCAGAAAACGGTGATTCTCCCCCGGGCTCGTTACGAATGGATGCATTTACGCTTCCAAGATTTCAAAACTGTTAACGAGTACAATTCGGCCATGTCCCGCATTTGTTCGGTATTAAAATTATGTGGAGAAAATATAACTGATTATGATATGCTGGAAAAAACGTTGTCCACGTTCCACGCTTCAAATGTACTATTGCAGCAACAATACAGAGCAAAAGGCTTTGTAAAATATTCTGCGTTGATTTCTTGTTTGCTGTTGGCTGAACAAAATAACGAGTTGTTGATGAAAAATCATGAATCTAGACCCACGGGGTCTACTGCGGTCCCTGAAATAAATGCTGTGATATCGAAACAGGGAACCGGAACTGAAAACAGCCAAACATATATGCGTGGATATACCTCGGGACGTGGCCGGTGTCGTGGACGTGGACGTGGCCGTGGCCGTGGATATGGCCCAGATCGCCGATTTGACCAAGGCTTCAAATTTCACAGAGGGTATAACTCGGGCCGTGGATATAATCGTGAGCGAGGCCGTAATTATGCCCAAAATTTTGAAAGGGGGAGAAATTTCCAGCCAAAATTTGAACAAAATAATGTGACGGAAAATAATAATGAAAATGCATGTTATCGATGTGGAAATACGGGGCATTGGGCACGAAACTGTCGTGCTCCGAAACACGTGGTTGATAAATATAATGATTCCCAGAAATCAAAAGATAAAAATGTAGAAACTAATTTTATAGTTGGGGAATCCTCTGACAATAATACAACACGTGTAGATGATGACTATGGCATCGATGACATGTTGAACTTGGATTTTGCTGATGCGGTATTTGAAGAAAGAGCTGGAAATGACCAAGAGAACAACTGATTATCCTGTTTCTTTTATTGTTTTCTAAGTTTTTGTTGTATTTGCGTATTTGTACTAGTTGTATCTGTATTTCAAATTTAATCAATAATAAATGTTGTTTTTTTTTTTAGATCATGGATCGGTCTCGAATTCAAAATGGAGATATATGTCTTGCAGATTGTGCCACAACTCATACTATACTCAAGGACAGAAAATATTTTGTCAACTTGAAATTAAATAAAGCAAAAGTAAACACAATATCTGGAAATGCAAAGATAATTGAGGGTTCTGGAAAAGCCATATTTTTTATGATGGGAGATACAAAGTTTACATTGAATGATGCATTATTCTCCCCGAAATCAACAAGAAACTTGTTGAGTTTTAAAGATATCCGAATGAACGGATACCATGTTGAAACAATGAATGAAGGGGGAGTTGAATATCTTTGCATTACCTCAAATGTTGCGGGAAATAAATGTGTTTTGGAGAAATTGCCAGCTTTATCATCGGGCTTATATTACACCCGCATTTATATTATTGAGACTTATGCTGCAACAAAGTCACAGGCGAATGAAATGTTTAAACTTTGGCATGATAGACTTGGTCATCCTGGCTCGATAATGATGCGAAGAATTATTGAAAATTCTAGTGGACATCCGTTAAAAAATCAGAGGATATTGCAAACACGTGA